TTGTCTTTTGTAAAATATCCCTATAGTAAGCTTGTGGCTTACTATAAAATAAACCATTTTCAAGAACTGGAATCAGGGTAAGGTTTCTATTTTCAAAATAAATGAAATAAAACTGTAATCTGAAAAAAAAAAGCAATGCCCAAAATGAAACAATGGGAAAAGAACTTTAGCAGCTTTTTTCTGGGATATTTTTCTCATTCTAACCACAATAACTCATATTTATATAGGATCATAGATCTAGAACTGGAAGAAATCTTTAAGATCAAGCCCAGGGGTGCCAGACAATGTCAGTGGATACCACAAAACTCTCAGGTGGGACCTGAACTAGATTAAAATATAATTGGGAAATACTTAACAAAATAAATAAAAATACAATAAAACAAAGGTAATGTCAGATGTGGTTATCTAAGTCAATAAGCTGTCTCAGGGATCCTTAGGTATGGAATTGTGGTCCCCATTTCTGTTTGAGTTTGACACCACTGCTCTGGTCCATTCTACAAATGAGGAAAATGAAGCTCAGACAGGTGAAATATCTTGTCACCCAGTAACAAGGAGCAGAGTCAAGAATTTGACTCTGGATTTCAAAGTCCTCTGACTTTCTTTTGTTCTTCCTTAGTAAAAATGAGAAGGGATAAGGCTAGTAAAACTGATGTTACCAGTGGGGACAAGTGGAAAGAAATTACATGTAATGGAAAGCTCTCAGTTGGTCTAATAATCAATGATGATGGGTTTTAATAATCAAATTTTTAAGCCAATAAAGTCTCCTGATGGCACTAAATATAAGCATACCCATCCACAGTTAATTTTAGGATGGGGAGGTAGTTCCCTTAGACTTTTGCAGCAAGCACGTAGGATATTGTGTTTACTATTAATTTTAAGGGCCTAGGGTTTCAGCCTCGGTCAATGGATCTCAATGCTTTGAAAGCACAGCAGTGTGAGCTGAGTCACCATCTACTAGTGATGCCATAAACTCACCATAAAAATTATCAAGTTTTTTCTCTTTCTCACCTATTTGAGCAAACACTTGTGCTAAGACATGGAATGCTGTTCCAGGTGCCCCCAGATGGGAGAAGATTAATTTCAGAAACTTTTGTGTATCAAGTTGTGGTTTTGAGAAGGTTTCTCCTGTAAGGCAAGTTATTTCCAGCAAATGCTTGTGAGCTTTGCTTAGATCTGTTGGGATTTTATCTTCCTTTAAGAGCATTCAGATGTGAAATTTCCCTGGGCAGAAAGTATTGAGTTGGGTGGGCCATGACCATGATTTTTCACATAGGCATCATAGGCAGCAGCACTAGATGTAATGTGACCTGTTCAAACCATGAGATGGTCATATTTAGCAACCATCTCTGCACACATCTTTTGAGTGGCTTCAGTGGACCAAGCCAGGTGGGAGGCTGCTAGAATGTCATGATCATATTGGGCAATTTTTGCTATTAGCTCCTGTTGTGCCAGTATCTTTTGATTCAGCTCCAGATTAATATTGAGTAATTTTTCAAGATTTTTGAGTCCAACTTTAACATCAAATACAGTATCTGTTAGGCTGAGTGATGATGATGATGACTTAAGGGGCAATTTTTCCATCCCTGTAGGAGTGCTTTTGATTTGATAGGGACCACTTAAAATCTGGTCTATATCCAACGAGCCTGAGTATAATGCATCAAAGTAAGTTCCAGAAAAGTCAGGAGTTGGTGTTCTGGATTGATTCATGATGACGCTTAATCTTGACCATTAATCTTCATCAGTCCTCTGACTTTCAACCCAGGGTCCTTTCCCATGGCATATGCTGGGGATTGAATTTTTATAAAGCACTTTCTCATTATCATAGAATCACATATTTAGAGCTGGAAGAGAATTGAAAGGTCATTTGCTCCAAAGTCCTCATTTTATGGATGAGGAAACTGAGGCTCAACTGGAGAGGTAATTTTATCCAAAGTCACATAGGTAATGACTTTGGGCAGAGGTAGGATTCAAACCCAAATTTGAGTCCTGAGACTCAAATACAACAGCAGGGGGAAAGTATAAATGTCATTTCCCAAACTACTACAATGTTTGCTCTTTTGGATTCATTTTTTTCAGTTTCTCATAAGAAATATGAGAGTGCCATGATGAAACAGAAAGAACCCTAGAACACTTCCTTGTTAAAAGGGAGAGCTCAGGAGAGATGCTAAAATTATTAGGAAATGGAACTGATGGTAAAAATGAGCAGTCCCATTAAAACTTTTTAAAACTTTGTAAAATGCAAACAGCCACAACAAATACTCAGCTTTAACAGAGAAGACCTAAATTCCATTCCCAACACCACTACCTACTACTAGTAGCTGTATAACCTTGGGCAAATCACCCAGCAGCTCAGGGGACTTAATTTCCTCATTTGCTCAATGGACACGAATGACTACCTCAGAGCTGCTTTGAGGATCAAATAACATAATTTATATAGGTCAATTGGTCAGTCAAAAGCACTCACCTTGTGCTAGGCACTATACTAAGCACCAGGGATACAAAGAAAGGCAAAAGACAGTCCCTGCCCTCAAAGAGCTCACCTTCTAATGGAGACATGCAAATAACTATGCACTTCCAAGATATACACAGAGTAAAAGCAATACATAAATCATCATCACTATCATTATTAGTACTATTTTGTCTGTTCTATCAAATTTCAGTTGAATGTCATTCTATGCCTCCAGGAAAAGAACTCAACAAGAGGCATATGAGCCAGGAAACATCAGTGCTATTCCACCCTTATCTGAGCAGTTTACTCAGCCTCCAGTTTCCAACAAAGACCTTTAACATCTCTGATTTCCATCTAATACACCAATGCACAAGTTCATATTTTGAGAAGAGGAAGTCTTAAAGGGGAACTTCAGAAAATACACTAAATTTTATCCGTTATTAACGCCTGGTCCTAGACATATTGGACAAATCCTTTCTATATGACAGCTCCCCTGGAACCAGTTTCAATAGGGAGAAGTGAAAGAAAATATGGGCATCTTTAGTTGAGCACAAGGGTAAGGAAGGAAGGGAAGATTAGTAGTAGGAGAAAGGGGAAACAGAAAAAAAACAGGAAGGAAACTTCCCCTATTTCATCACATATCTCTGGCTAACTCAGAAAAGCAAATCAAAGTTGATTGTGCCTTCTTCATCCCATTAGTTAACCAGGAGCAGTCCAGAGGCCATCTTTAGAATCAGAGTTATAGAATGTTGGGACCAAAACCCTCCTAGTCCAATCCCCTCATTTTATAGAATTTTGCAAAGGGACCTATGGAGCTGCAAAGGCTCTTAGAGATCATCTAGTCTAAGCCTATCATTTTACAGATGAGGAAACTGAGGCTTGGAGACAATGTATCCGGAATCTTAGCTTCTTTTGAAGACTCAGATCAAGTGCCACCTTCTATGTGAAATCTTTTCTAGTGACCTCCCCTTTCCTTCACCCCTCCATGAGGTGCTATTACCATCCCCCTCATATTACCTCATATTCATTTTGTATAATTATGTGTATACTTATATACATGTTATATATGTATGTATCCTTATATACATGTTGTCCTTATTTAGAATGTAAGTTTCTTGAAGGCAAGGACTGTTTTACGTCTGTGCTTGTACCCAAATTACCACAGTGCCTGGCACATAGTAAATATCTCCAAAATGTTTGTTGATTGATTAACTGATTGACTTATCTAAGATCACCTAGTTAGTCATTCAATAAACATTTATCAAGCACCTACTATTTTTCAGGCATTGTGTTATTTGCTGGGTACACAAAGAAAAGTCAGTCCTTGTCCTTGAAAAGTTCATCATCTTCTAACTTATAATAGTCCTTCCATTCAATGGATAAGGTAACTGAGGCATAATAATGGCTAGTATGTAATATATATTATCTCATTTGATCTGTTCAACAACCCTTTGAGTTAGGTACTATAATTAATTATCTCTGTTATATAGATGTGGAAATTGAGGCTGAGAAAGGAGAAGTGACTTGCCCAGCTCTTATAAGTATCCGAGAAAAGATTTAAAATCCCGCCTTCCTGACAAGCAGATCACATAGCTAGTCAAGACTGAACTAGAGTTCAGGTCTCCTGATCCCTCAATTTGGTGATTTTTCTTCTTTATGTGACCAGGACAGTCACACTTAAAATCATTTTCTTTTCAGCCTCTTACCTCCACCCCAAAATGCAAGCAGGTTTTAAAAGTCCTTCTTAATTGGAGAACCGTCTCCTTCTATTATACGAATACTTTGTAGTGGTTTGACCATAGTTAATCCTTGCTCGGTCTTTAGTGTCTCCATCTGCAAAACAAGGCTGTCGGCCTGGATATTCTCTAAGGTAGGTTCCTTATGCCTCTAAACGTTCGATCCCACTTTGGACAGAGCGCTTGATTTGGAGTCAGAGAAGCTAGGCTTGAATCCTGTCTTTGCCATTGAGTTGCATTGACTTTGACTGTGGGTTAGTCACTTGAATCGTTCTAGGTCTTAAGTTCCCTCAACTAAATTAAATAAATAAAGGGGTTGACCTAGACTCCTTTCAGCTCCAAATCTACTCTCCAGTTTCAGTCATTCATTTCACTTTTACATTCTCTGGCAGTGACCTAAAACCAGGGTTTGACTCCAGCCCTCAGGGATTGGAGATCTGGGTACCACTGAAACCCCCCAAAGACAACAGGCTCAGGGGGCCGGGTTTGTTTCTTTCTCTCTTTCTTTGTTTTCCCATTATCTGAGTAAAGGCTCAGCTTTCAGGGCCGAAGTGAGCCCAGGATTGAGAGATTTTTTTTTTTTTTTAATGGACTAGCAAAAGGAAACTGAACAGTTTCAGTAAATTGCCTAACAGCCCTGACACTGCGCCTTAAGGGAAGGAAGCCTTCACTTTCACCAGCAGACTTAGAGACGCTAATAGCTAAGCCCTCTACCCATTCGACTCGGGGGTTCCAGGGCTGGGCGCACCTGGTCCCTGCACGTCCCCAAGGGCACCCCTACCTAGTACAACTCCCGGGAAAGACAGTAGACGTACCTAAGACCCCAGGACGCTCCTTAGGGTCTGGATTAGACAGGTCCAGGTGCGCTCTGTTCAGCTAGCTGGATTACAGCTACAACAGCTACAGGCTGGATGGACACGGGGTACAGGATGCAGGCTGTGGGATGTGCGGAGCTGGAGGAAGGAGGGGGTGTCTGTCTTTGCCCCGCCTCTTCTCAATCGCTCCTACCAGTTAGGGACTTGCGAGAGTCTAGGGAGATGAGGCAGCGCAGGGGGGAAAGAAGGACGGAACACCCGAGGTCCCTTTCCTTCTCGCCCACAGATGGACGTCCAAACTACAGCCTGTTCAGAGTGGTTGGCAGGCGGGGTGGGAGGGAAAAGAGAGGAGGGAGGGAGGAAGCAGACAGAGAGAGACAGAGAGAAACCACACTTTCCTCTCCTTCTCTTAGTCCCAGGTATCTCTTCATCCCCGCTCATATGTTCAGTCCACAGTTTACAGTTTTCCGAGGGGAATTCCCCTACTTCCACACTTTCTTCTGGTCAAGAAGGGGTACAAACTGGAAATTTCAGAACAAGGAGTCTGGTGATTCCTACTCCATCCCCTCTCCCCAGCTCCCCTTCAAACCCAGCTGGAAAATGGAGCAAAGCAAGGCTGGAGAGAAGACAACTTGCCCTGGGTTCAAATTCCGATTCTGCTGCTTACTAGATGCCAGACTTTTAGAAAATCAGTTCCCTCTCTGGGGCTCCTCGTCCGCTTCTGTAGAATGAGAGACTTAAGCTGAAATACTCTCTACAAGGAGGCTTTCAGCTCTAAATCCTGGATCTTAAGGGGATGGGTGCAGAACATGGAAAAAGAGAGTTCTATCCAAAGCTGAGCTACACCTGGCTCCTTGCCACCAGGGGCTTTCCTAAAGCAGGAACAACCAGATAGAATTTGGTCCTAGGCAAATGAGAAGGCGGTGATGAGGCCAAATGTCATCTCATAAATGGTGAACCTCAGAGGTTCACCGGTGCAGAGCCAGAGAGCTCTCTGTAGCCCTCTCCTCTCCTCCTGGCAGAGAGAGTCTGGCTCTACTCTCCGACTGAATTCTCCCTTTTCCCAGATCTCACTTCCGCCCTCTAGACACTGGTTCATTTCATTTTTTGTTTACACTCTACTCCAGTGTTCACCACCTACAGCTTTCGTGTCAAGAAAAAAAAAAATCCCCAAACCTCAGCAATATTTAGACTAAGAAAGCTGATAAGTATGTCAAGCCTTCCTTGTGGTGAAAAAAGCACTGGGTTTTGTCTTTCTTGACTATGCAAGTTACAAGGATTTTTGTTTTTCCTTCTATTTCAGTGGAGATAGGGAGTGAGAGAAAAATCAAGGATTTCAATCGGAAAAAGTAAAATAAAATTTTTTTTAAAGCAAGATGGTCTCCAATTTTAAATTAAGATTCATCCTGCTATCCTTTAGTATTAAGCCAAATTTTATCCAAAAAAACCGATAGACTCCTTTTTTGATCCGAAAAATTTGGTAGTTTGGGTCAAGAAAATTATTGGTAGAGAGGGGGCAGCTAGGTGGCGCAGTGAATAGAGCACCCACCCTGGAGTCAGGAAGACCAGAGTTCAAATTGGACCTCAGATATTTGATCACTTGATACTTACTAGCTGTGTGACTCTGGGCAAGTCACTTGCCTTGGAAAAAAAGAGTAGAGAGCATTTTTCTCCCCTTCAGGGGAAAAAGTTTACAAGCTAAAAGAAAATTAAGGAAAAGTTATCAAGTAAAAAAAAAAATTGGCTCTTTTATTAACTTACTACTAATGTAATATTTTAATCCATTGGAAGTTAACTCAATAAAAGGGCTTTGTTTATCCTCTCTGAATAACCCTCTGGCTATCACACTAAAACTTACTGAATGTATGGCCCATATAAACTAGTTACCTCTATTTCTTCATCAATATCTGTCTCTCCCACTAGCTTTGTCATGGTGTCCAAATTGGCTTTCATTAGAGTAATTTATTAAAGGCCACCTGGAGCCAAGCATTTTTTTGACTATGGTAAGGCTTACTGCTTGTTGGTCATATTAGAATGATTTTTTCTGATTATCTGATTAAAACCCCTGATAATGCCATGGAGAACAGGCCCTGTGCACTTCAGAGAAGTATGCAGTTCCTGTTGGTTCCCGGAAGTTCTGCTAGTCTCCTTTCAGGACAACCCAGTCACCCTTATTTTGCCCCAGGCACAGACTCTTGAGAATTTCAACAATAGGAATCTTGTCAGAGCTGAATTTCTTCTTGTGGACTTTTCACAGACTGTGGCTGGGCCACAGTAGTATCTAATATTCAACCAACGTTCGAGTTGGAAGGAGAATTGAGGAAATTTGCATTTGGGGGAAGAGGGGAACTCCAAAATTTTGCACAGCTCATCTCCCCCTGCTTTTGTTTTCCCCTTCTTTTGAATTTCTTGGTAGTAGCTATTCCTATCCTTAGATCACTGCAGTAGCAGGGATGGTCACTATCTGGAGACCAAAAAGATAACAAGAGCATTGCACAACCAGGATCTGGGGTTCTAGCACCATGAACAGATCCTAATCCAGTCCCAATCCTTGGTCTCTCCAAACTGTTCAGTTGGGCTCGTAGGCACTTCATTTGCCATTATTCATACTCTAATCCAAGTTCATAGAATGTTAGAACTACAAAGGACCTTAGAGGCCATCTTAGTTCAATCTTCCCATTTTATAGATGAAGAAACTGAGACCCAGAAAGGTGAAGGGACTCACCTGTTAACATGAACATTGAATTAGTAGCAAAGTTGGGACTAAAATTCTTCTCATTGCACCATGCTTCCTAAAAGTTTCATTATATACAAAAATATTTATTGCAGTGCTTTTATTGTAGTAGCAAATAACTGGAAGGAAAGTATTCATTGATTATAGAATTGTGGAATAAATTGTGGTATATGAAATATTATTGTGGCATAAGAAACAGCAACTATGAATTCAGAGAAACTTGGGAAGATTTGTATCTTATGTTACAAGAGATCATGACTTTAGAGGACTGAGGGTGACAAGGAAATGACAAGGAATGAGGGCATATATTATGGGAACTGTCTGATGTATTGGTTTGTTTTTATTAAACTCTAACTCTTTGTTACTAGGGGGAGGTTCATTTAAAGGAAACCATTAGGAAGTAAACAGTGATCTCATTATTTTAAAATAGTATCATTATATTACCCAATAGATAAGTGGTCAAAGAATATGAATAAACAATTCCCAAAGGAAGAATTGTAAACTATAAACAACCACATGAAAGAATGATACAAATCACTAATAACAAGAGAAATGCAAATCAAATCAACTCATAGGTTTCATATCACACTCTGTAAATTGGTAAAGATGCCCCAAAATGGTAATATTCAGTGTTGGCCAGGTTGTAGAAATATAGGCACACTGACATATTGTTAGGGGAGCTATGAAATTGGAAAGCAATTTTGAAGTATGTAAATAATGTGACTAAAATATTCATATCCTTTGACCCAGAGATTTTGTTACTAGACTTGTACCTAAAAGAAGCCATTGATAAGAAGAGAGACCCCATATACATCAAAATATTTATAGCTCTGGGTGAAGGTACCACCACTGCAGCCATGTGGAGTTGGCAATCCCTGATTCTCCTCTTCCTGACTCACTGTTGTTCAGTCTCACAGAAGAATAAGTCAGTCACGAAGCCATTCCACTGCCATGGCATTCAAAGACATGGCAGGACACTTGTGAAGACCAAAGTGGTCATTGACCAGATCTGGATCACCTTCACCAGCTACAATGTGAAATCAATGGAGAAAATGTGTGCCAACCCAATTAGAGGAGCCAAAGAAATGTACTTGAAAGTGAAGAGACCTGTTCGAATGCCCACCAAGACAATTCGAATCACAACTAGAAAAATTCCTTGTGGTAAAGGTTCGAAGACTTGGGATCGGTTCCAGATGAGAATCCACAAACACCTTATTGATTTGCACAGTTCTTCTGAAATTGTTACACAGATCACTTCTATCAGCATTTAACCAGGCACAGAAGTTGTCACCATTGCAGATGCCTAGTCAAGCATTTCTTTTAATAAATTGATTCCAACTATTAAAAAATATTTATAGCAGCACTTTTTGTGATAGCAAAGAATTAAAAACAAAATAGATGCCCATAGATTGGGGAATGGCTAACAAATTGTGGTACACGAATACAAGGAAATATAGTAATATTACATATATATATTGTTATAAGAAATGATGAGTGTGATGAACATAGAGGAAAAAGGAAATGACTACATAAATTGATGGAGTAAAGGAAGCCAAGCCAAGAAAACAATATATATAATAACTATAACAATGTAAGTGGGAAACAACCACACACAATCAAAAGTGAAATTGCATGTTTTTGGACATAAAAACAAAAGTCATCAATAAAAATTCATTTTTAAAAGATATACCCCCAAATTAGCTTTAATAACATGTAAAAAAGATGTGTTTTAAGATGACAAAAAAGTGTCTGTCAATATGAAATTATAAATATTACTTATGCAACACAAACCCTCACTGGGGTCTATAGAGGGATTAATGCATGGGATAAGGTGTTTGCAGTTTCATGTTACGTTGTGGGGGTCGTCTTGAATGAATTCACAGACTCAGACCATCTCCAATCTAAGAAAAGGCATTTATTGAGAGTGACACCTCTCCAGCAGAATGGGTGTCACTCTCAATAAAGACAGAAAAAAAAAAAAAAGACAGGCAATTTTATAGTGCAAAGGTGTTGATTATGCAACAAAAATTATGAATATTAAAAGGCAGGAGGGGTTAATCAAGGGATTAGGTAATATAGGAGGGGTCTCAGTCTCAGTGGAACTGTACATGTGGTTACCCACAATGCATACAGAAAAACCTCTTGGGGGGGACATGAATGTATGATAATGATATTATAATAAGCCTCTCTACAGCATAAGTTCACCTAAAGGATAGCTTTTTGTTATTACTGCACAGGTGCGTACTTAGGGAAAGTTTTTTTTTTATCATTTTTTATCATTTATTTTATTTTATTTGTATTCACTTATTTTATTATTTATTGTTTTGGGGTCTGCATCATGCTTGGGCATCCTGGTGGTGCTGCCTTCTGATTGACCGACTATCGTGGTCCTGTCTTGTGATTAGATGAATGTGGTTGTGGTCAAGTGCATGGACATAACTGCTGTTTCTGTGAGGAATATGAGGAATGGGTCTGGGGGCAGTGGCTAGCTAGAGGCAGTGACTAGGATTCCATCATATGGACATGATTGCTGCTCCACTGGGGCATGACTTCATGGACATTCCTGCTATTCTAGTGAGGCAATAAGGCATATGTGAGGAAGTTAGGATATTGAGTCGGGGAGCAGTGGCTAGGTAGAGGCAGTGTGCCTGCTGTTCAGTGAGGC